AAGTTAATAATGTTATAACATTTAATTAATTTTTTATTTGTTGCAACATAATAAAATAATTGTTGTTACCATCTTTATTCATGAAGATGCTTAATTATTCGCACCTTAATCACTTCCTTACGTCTTTTATGGTTAGCAGCTTCAAATTCAATACTATTATGCATTTTCTCTAGAAGGGTTAGATCTTTTATTAAAAATAATGGCTGACCTGGAGTATTATTTATAATATATTTTCCCTTAAAAAATCAAAGAATATCAAAACCAAAATTATCATTACGAATTATTTTCTTAATTTACTTAATCCAAGTAATCATTAAGAAATGTCATGTGATGAATTAGATAGATATTTAAATTCCTTGGTAGATAGTAATGTTAATCCTTTAAATTGGTGAAAAAGTAATGAAAAAAACTATTTGATATTATCACAAATGGCTAAGGATTATTTAACAATCCAATCAACGTCAATTCCATCAGAAAGGACCTTTTTGATTTCAGGTTTAGCTACAGTATTTCAAAAACCAGAAATAGGTTAAATCCAGAAACAGCAAGGGCAATTATTTGTATGAAAAAATTGGATTTCAGAAAAAAAAGAAATTTATAGCAATGAAATATATTTTTTTTTTGTTATAGATTTTATAGATTTAGATTTAATTTTTTTTTTGTCAATTTTTGACAATAAAATTTTGTATTTTTGGTTTTTTTTTGTTAAATAAAATAATTGCGATATTTGGTGGTATTTTTTTTTGTTAATATCGAATGGTTTTACACTTCGGTCTAGACTACAATTCAAACGGTCTATAAACCAGTCTACGGTTCGATTTTACTCTCAGACCGCTGAAAATCGAACCGAAACCGAACTGATCGAACCGTTAACATCCCTAGCGACACGGGCTTTCATTGAATACAAGATCGCGTCTAATTTGATTTGCCGTTGTCTGTACGGTCAGGCATATCATTTGACACTTCGGCGTAACCTGTCACACATTTCATACATGCAATTTCCATAACGTCTTACATCACCACAAAAAATCATCGTCCTTCCTAAGTATACTTCTTAAAACCGCGTCTGTTTTGCTTAATATTAATGGCAGCACCCGAGGAAGACTATTCATCAACACCTCTTAATGAACGAGTTACACATAAGGTATTTTTTATTTTATTTTATTTGTTTTTTTCCTCCAATTTTAATCTTGATATAATATTTTCGTATTTTGGTTCTAGATTTGGAAAGTTCGGGTTGGAGCTTATGAGGAACTTACAAAGCTATTTACAAATTCAGATAGTGAAAGCGACTTTAGGCCTTATGAGGGTTTAATGAAAAACATTGCAACAGACTCTAATGCTGTCGCTCAAGAAACTGGTCTAACGACATTGACTGCTTTTGTTGATAACGCACCAAATCCATTAAGGTAAGTTTAAAATTTTCTTTTTGTCAGTAACCTTCATTCAAAAGTTTTTAACGCGTCAACGTAGATAAGAACTGTTTATAAACTGTCGCCTATTATTTGATTCAACGGTTTCTTCAGGTCTTAATCTGGTAGACTCTTCTCAATTGCAGGGCCAGGGCTTCTATTATACCGGCCGTTGTTGATAAGGGATTCGGCTCAAGCCGTTCTGGAACAAAATCTAAAGCATTAGAACTCATACTATTATATATAGAAGTTGATATACCAGATCCCATAGTGGTGTGTGTATATCATAATTTTCATAACTTTTCATTAAAAACAAAGTTGCTAATTAATATTATTATTTAGGAAGATGTCCTTGCTGGATTAAATGCCAAACAACCTAAATTGGTTACCACAGCTGTTCATGTTCTTAAGGAGATAATTAGGTATTACATGTCTTTATATTAAAACATTGGATTGCATGCGATAGATAGTTCAATTAAAATTAGTCGCTTACTTGATATATATATTTGTATAAAGACTTTACGGTGCAAAAACAGTGAATGTTAAGCCTATCCTCAAAAATATACCAAAGATATTTGCACACGCGGATAAGAATGTGAGAAGTGAGGTAATTGTATACATTATACCGTATAAAGATGATTTTATTATGTTATTTCATAAACTAATTTTAATTTATATTAGGGAACACAATTAGTAATAGAACTATATAAGTGGTTGGGTAAAGCAATATATCCACATTTATCGGAGTTAAAGCCAGTACAGGTAAAATTAAAGATGAAATTACCTTCTTGTTATTTGGGAACTTCGGATTTAATCATTGATTATTGAATATAGATCAAAGAATTGAATGAAACATTTGAAAAATTACCACAAGAAAAACCTCAACAAGAACGTTTATTACGTTCACAAGTAGTTGCTGCAGAAGTAGCGGCGGAAACCGATGGAGGTAGTGTTCTGTATTAATATAAAGCATTGTTTAGATTTATCTTTTTAATATTTTGAAATTTGTATTTTAGGCAATGAAGCTGAAGCAGGAGAAGAGATTGAGATTGATGCATATGATTTAGCAGAACCAGTCGATGTTCTGTCAAAATTGTCCAAAGAATTCTATACTGAATTGGTAATATATATCATACGATATTAATTTCATAGTAGAATCTTGAAATAATATCTTATATCCTTTTAGGGTTCTACAAAATGGAAAGAAAGGAAAGAAGCTCTGGAGGGTTTGTTAGAAATCTGTAATACACCGAGAATTGTGGATAATAATTATTCTGAGTTAACTGCTGCCCTTGCAAAGGTGTGAGAGGTTATTTTGTAAATAGAATAAGATCATTTAATGAGAAAGTTTACTTACGTGATTTTAAAATTATAGCGAATGTCAGATTCCAATGTTTTAATAGTTACAATCGCAGCTAATGTTATAGAGGCGTTGGCCTTGGGTTTACGTGAAGCTTTTGCAAAATATAAGTCGACGGTAATTTATCACGCTCAATTGATTAGTTGTTTGATATTGAACCTTTTATTAAGGTATTATTTTTATAGGTCGTAGGTCCCATGATAGAAAAACTTAAAGAAAGGAAACAAAGTGTAGTTGATGCTTTGGCTTCGGCATTGGATGCCGTATTTTTAAGTGTAAATATTATAGGATCATTATAATTTACCTTTATTAAAATAATTAATAATTTTATTATATGACAGGTTACAATATCTGATGTTTCTGGGGACATATTAGCGGCCGGAAAACACAAAAATCCCCAAGTTAAAACAGAGTCCATGAAATGGCTTGTCAGGTGTATTAAAAATACTAAAATTGCACCACATAAGGCTGAAATCAAATCTTTAACTGAGATGATGGTGGGGGCTTCTGAGGACAGTTTTGAACCTGTTCGTAATTCAGCTTTTGAAGGATTGGGAACAATGATGAAAGTTATTGGCGAGAAGGCGATGAACACTTTCTTGGAAGGACTTGATGATATAAAAAAGGGAAAAGTCAAAGAATGTTATGAAAAGGCCGAAGTTCAAGTAAAATTTTCTGCTGCGAAAAAGCCTCCACCTCCACCCAAATCTGATGCGCCCAAAGGAAAATCCTCAAGAAAACCTGTGGCAAAAAAAGCTGTGCGTCATATTTTCGGAGTAGCTAATTTAATCTTTCCTTGATATTGTTATAGAATAGTTCAACTCATTTTTACCTTTTTATGGGGAATTTGTATTGAAGGTATCTGCACCTAAGAAGGCAGCATCTGCTGAAAAATCTGCAAAGTCAGGAGATCCTCCCAAAAAAGCTTCTGCTAATCCTGTTGTTGCTCCACTTCCACCAAAGAATAGTGGAAAAGTGAAGGAAGAAGTTATCAAATACAAATTTTCTAACGATGAAGTTGAGTCCAGATTTGCTGAATTGATTTCCGAAGATCAGACTGCCGGATTGAGTGAAAAGAATTGGAAATTGCGTTTAACTGGTATGTCATTTAATAAAATTATTTACTTGGAACTATGCAGAATTTTACTATTTTATTATCATATTAGCCATTGAGAATCTTCTATCCTCGTTGGAAGAGATGGATCCGTCTGAAGTAGAAGCGGAGTTATTTGTCAGATTTCTTTCTATTAAACCTGGTTGGAAAGAAAGCAATTTTCAGGTTTATATTATATTAAGATATTAATAATGTTATATAGTACGTGTTAATCTAAGTTTCCAATTTTAGGTTTTATCAAAAACATTTAATATAATGGAGATACTTTGTCTAAAGGTTCCGTCATTTGGAAAACCAACGGCAGCATTAGCAATACCAAGTAAAATGCGATTATTTTATTCACAACTTTTTTTTCATCAAAATATAAATTTAAATTTATATATTTGTGTTTTTTAGTATTATTAGAAAAGTTGGGTGACATTAAATTAAAGTATAGTGCAGGAGACGTATTAACGGCTTTTTCCGAAAAAATTTCTTTACAATTTGTACTTTCACAAGGTTAGTAGTTGCGTTGTCCTAAATAATAAATATTTACAATACTAATAAACCTTTATGTCACAGCATATGACCCATTGCGTAAAGCAAAAGCACCTAAAACATTAGCTAATAGTTTAACATGGATCCATAGTGCTATTATGGAATTTGGAATAGCATCTCTTCAAGTGCGCGAGATTATTGAATTTCTCAAATTCGCATTAGGCAGTTCTAATGCGACTGTTCGCACAAATTCTGTCTCAGTTTTGGGAGTTTTGCGCATTTTTGTAGGACCAGGTAAAAAAGGAAATTGTTAAAAAATAATCATGTATTTTCCTCGATTGTGATAACAATATAAATATTTTATTTTTGTTATAGATATAAGAACATTTGTTCAAGACTTAAATCCTACACAGCTAGCCGCAATTGACAAAGAATTTGAGAAAGTGGCTGATACAGTTCCTCCAAAAGCATTAAAAAAAAGCGTATGTATCATCAACCTAGAATCAATTTTTTATATATAACTTAAAATATTTGATTTTTGATTTAACCTATTCGTTATACATTTAAAAAGGTCGATGTCATAAGCACAGGTGGTAGTGGTAAAGATACTTTAGAAGAATTGTTTCCTAAAGTCGATATTAGCGCACAATTTACTAGTAAAATGATGGCTGTAAGTTTCTTTAATTGGTGTTATCCTTGCTTAACGGTAATAGTTGGTATAATAGTAATACATTGTTAGGAATGCAACGACGATAAGTGGAAAGTTCGAAAGGATGCACTTGATCAAGTCCTTGCTATTGTTGATGCCAATAAGAAAATCAAACCGAGCTTAGGTATGTTAATTTTATAAATAAACTAAATAAAAAAAAAAGATAAAAGCAAAGCAAAACCTTAATTAAATATTTGTATTATAGGTGATTTCATTCCTATCCTAAAGGCGAGACTATCAGATAGTAATAAAAACTTGCAAATGAAGGCTTTGGATTTAACTGCCAAACTTGCTACTGCGATGGGCAAGCCATTTGACAAGCATGTTAAAATAATAGTGGCGCCAGTCACTGCTATTCTTACAGATAAAAAAGCAACCGTCCGTGGAAGCGCTATTGGTACTTTGGATGCTTTAGCAAATGCTTGTGGGCTCGATCCTTTAATTGGTTCATTTTCAACAAGCCTTGCTACAGATAATCCTTTATTAAGAAAAGATCTATTGAGTTGGCTCTCTGAACGTTTCAAGGAAGCTGTAGAGAGCGATAAAAAGAATGCGTTACCAGATTTGTCACCCATGGTTCAACCAATTCTATCTTGCTTACAAGATCGAAATGGAGAAGTTAGAAAAGCAGCACAGGCTTGTTTAGGACCTATAATACAAAGTGCCGGATATGATTATGTGGTAGCAAAATGTGGTGATTTGAAAGGCGCAGTGAAACAGACAATTATGCCGATTATAGAAGCTATTCGACCAACTAGTCGTAGTGGACCTGCTGCGAGGAAGGATGCTAAAAAGGCGGGCTTAAAATCTCGACTTGCTGCACCATCTGGCAACGATAAAGCTGATGCAGATGATGAAGAAATGGATGAAGAAGAACCAGTGAAATTACCACCAGGATTAATTCTTAGACCACCAACATTTAATAAACCTACTGCATCATTAGCAAATCCATTAGCCACTGCAAATCATAATGCATCGAGTATACCTACAAACGATCCACCATCTTTATTAGCACTACCTAGTGGTCAAACATCTTCTCAAAGAGGTGGTATTCCAAGTGGTATTAATAGACCTCCTTCAAGATTACAATTTTCTCGAATTCGTTCTAATATGAATGGTGTAATTGGGCAAATTTCTACAGTATCTAATAGTTCAATTGATGAGAATGAAACTAGGAAAGATTTGTCTAGTATAGTAGTTGATAATTCAGAACATTCACTATCAGATAATAATGAAATCAATGTGATCCCGCATTCTCCTGGATTATCTCCTGCTAAACAGCGAATATCAGAGCACAATTCTGTTTTTATTATAATTACTAAAATTATGGGTACAGAATTTCAACAAAGTATTGAGGCATTGAAAGAATTGGACAAACATTTGAACACTTCTCCTGAATCCATCATTCCTGATGTAAATGAACTCGTAAATGCTTTAGCATTCCAAGTCCGAATTTCTTATACACAGCTTCAACCACAATCACATAGCTTAATTCGACTATGTAAACATCTTGTCAATGCTTTAGTACTATTATTTTCAAATAAGAATTTGGCATTAGCAGTGTCTCAAGGTTCACTTGACCGTTTATTAACTGAGCTAGCACATCGTTTGTTAGATCCTAATCTCACCGTAGTGGATGGTGGTCAACAATTATCAAAAGCGCTTAATGTCTCAATGGTTAAGGTTCTTGAAAATAGCAATCGTAACAGAACGTATAGGTGAGAGATAATTTCCTATATAAAGAAAATATAATAACTCACTAAATATTACTCATTATTAATCTACATTTTTTTTTAGTGCACTAATTTCAATACTAGAAAAATCATCATCTAATTTGCGTGAGGTTGATGCGGCTAATGTTACCACACAAACAAAGTTCACTGAACTAATTATGAAATGTTTATGGAAACTTGCAAAGACAGTTCAAGATAATTTGAAGGCTGGTATTCTTTCACCGAATCAATTATTATGTGATCTCAATAGCTTCTTTTTAACAACACCACCAACTGAATGGAAAAGACGAGCAGCAGAAAAGGTACCACTAGGCGAAATGCCTTTACGTACAGTTAAAACACTTTTACTTGAATTGATAACAGGTCTTGGTGATAATGTATACGACCATTTAGATCTTATTGAAGATCCACAAAGGAGTTATGTTTACCCTTATTTACATCATATGATTGAGGCTACCAAGAAGGAGGACAGGCTATCCAGTAATCCAACAATCGCTAACAACCATATAAAAACTAGTCATTCATCTTCATCAGTCCAATCTTTTAGTTCATCTGGTTCCGACGCGACATATGCTACTACAGATACTTTACCATTTAATGAAGCTTCAATTAAGGATCCATCGGCAAGAAATTCTCCATCAGCTAGAAGTTCTCCGATTCCCGAAGTTCCTGGTCATAATAATGAAACAATGTCAAATGCTTCAGAGCCAGTAAGTCCTGCGTCATCACATGAAGTAGAAGTGAATGCACGGCTAAATCAAATGTTCCTTAAAATTGAAACTAGAGAAGAAACGAAAGAGGTAATTAATTATAGAGTAAATTAAATAATAATCATTAGAATTAAATTATAATTAGATTTATTTTTATTCAGGGTCTCTATGAATTATATGAATTTCAAAAACAACACCCTGGAATGGTAAACTACATAGCAACACAGTTATCTAGGAAAGGCCCATGTTTCCAAAGTTATATTCGCCGTGGACTTACCAACATTGCTATAGATGAAGAGGAAAAGGAAAAGGAAAGAGCTAATGATATCGCGGAAGTTAAAAAGCCATGTATGTAATGTCAATTATAATAAAATTTGATTCTATGTAGCTTAATCATAATCATGGCTTTTTTTTTAGTTCCTCAAAATTCAAACAATCTTGAAGGTAAGAAATTATAGTCATGTTTTATATTTATTAACTTTATTGAAATTAAATTTTGATATATAGATGAAAAACGTAAATTTATTTTGAGGATACAACAAATGTTTATGGGCAACTCATAAATGAAATAAATGAAGAGAATCAGAGCGAAAACATCATTTAAATGAATAAAGGTTTTGAATATATTTTAAAACTTTTTTTCCTTATAGATCTACTTTACCTTTTCTTTAGTGATTCTTTTCCAATATAACATATAAATGTAATTATCATATTTGTAATTTATAGACATTAAAAAGAGAATTTAAGTAATTTCATTATATACAGATCAAAGTTTTTGGTTTTACCTTTTTTTTTTTTTTTTTTTTTTTTTTTGTAATTATTAAGATAATTGGAATAAACAAAAAAAATTATCCATATTTAATAAGCTAATATTTAATAAGCTAATAATAAAATGTGTTTTTTTCAATAATAAATAGGTTTAATTTCTTTAAACGCATGTCATAAAAAATTGACCCTTACAAATTAATTGCAATACATACAAAATCCGTTAACCAATCCAAACTTGTGATTGAAAATCAACACTGATTTTTAATTTTTTAAAGTGGCAAAAATTCGATCCATCTTTTTTTAGTTCGGCAGGTCACAATTTAATTAGCCAATAAAAATCCAAAAAATGAACAGGCCTAATTTAGCTAGTCTAGTCTAACAAATTATCTTAAATTTCACCAACCAATACAATTAGAATAAATAGTTCATTGATTAGCCGCAGTAATTTCGCAACGATAATTTTACTTGATACTTTTTATGTTTTAATAAAAATTTTAATCGTATTTTATCATGTTCGTTAAAGAGAATATAATATCAAAGGCATTTTTATTCGAACTTATTATTATCAATGGTATATAATATACTTAAATAAATAGGATGTAAATTTTTAAAAAGAATTTTAATTGTCATATAATTCACCAAAATAAATTACTTAATCATGTTTTTGTCTAATTAAATCGCGTTTTGTTATATAAATCTAAAGCAAGCAATGTATCAATTTAATTTGAACTATCAATTGTATTACTTCATAGTTTATAATTGTTGAAAGCAATTAATTCGGATCAATAAAGATTACTTCAATTATTTAGTTTATTTATCTATGAAGTTCAAATTAATAAAAAAATGCCATCATTATAATGATCTGCATCGAATATATGTAGAATAAATAATAAAATCATTCTTGATAACTTTTATTGATAAGTTTTATTTTGTGTAAATTTTTTATCTGATAATATCACATTATTGATTATAATCTAAATATAATATTACATAATTATTTATAATTTTAAATGAGCTTTTTTAGTAAAAAAAGATAAAGCTGCAAAAAAAAATTTTTTTCTTGATATATTAAATATATTAAATATGATTTTTTTTAATTAAATTAAATTCAGATCTAATATAAATTCAAAATTCAAAAAAAATTTTTTTGAATTTCTTTTCCAAAAACCTATATAAAATATTGATAAATTTAGTAACTTTATATTAAAGATTATAAATTAAAAATTTAATTTAATTTAATAATTTAATATTATAGAAAAAATATTTATATTACTATTAACTTTTAAATTACTTGTTAAATCTATTAAATAAACTTTTAATTTATATTATCATTTCAAATTTATTTTTTGTAAATCAAATAATTATCTATATATGTATATGCAATCTAAAAATATTACTTATTATCATGTGATATCAAATAAATAGAAAAAAAAAATTAAATTAATAATATTTAAAAATCTTTCTGTAAAATTATAATTTAAATAATACCTTTTATATAACAAGAGTTTTTTCAAATTAAATTACTATAGCATAAAGTATATAAATTTTTGTATTAATTATTTTACTATATTTTAAATAAATGTAGCAGATTTTGGCCAGTTTAGTACTAATATAATACAGGCTAATATTTATAAAAAAGATAAGATTTAGGATAGCTATAACATGATATTTAAAGATGGTTCCCATAATTATTTTCAAATTTCAATTGAATTGCAACTTAATTGCGTCATAAGGAAATTTAATTGCGTCACAAGTTGCAACTCAATTGCATCATTTTTTTTAATTATAGTGCTCATCTTTAATGATATTATTTAGTATACTCAATCTCTTTCAATTATCATAAGATGGATTTATTTAAACCATTTTAACAATCCTAAAAAATATGCTATAAATAATATAAGTTTAATATGATGTATATAATTAAAAAAAACAAAGTTTATAAATTTTTTATTACTATATAAATCTAAACTATCTAAATTAATTAAAATTTTACATAACTAATTGATTGGCAAATTTGGTTATAGTTAAAAATAAAATCTGATTATAATTAAATAGGTGATTAAGAATTTTTTTAAAATGGTTAAGTAGTAAAAAAATCAGATTGATTATATCATTAACATGTGAAAATTTTGTTTAATAAAATCTAAACTTAACGGATTTTTTATTATCAAAGATATGAAAAATTCAATTTAAAGCTATATAGAAAAATAAGGCTTTAAAAGTAAAAAATGCAAGTTATGATGAATTATTAGATAATTATGATATTAATGATGATTAACATAATGATAAATTTGAAAATATAAACAAATTTCATAGATTATTTTTGATATTATAATTTAAAATATAAAAGTGTCAAGTATCATTTACAAATAAACGTTTATTAGTTTATATTGGAAATTCTAAAAGAACATAAAGATATAAAAAATTAGCTACTAAATTATAATAATCGATATTTTTAAACTTGATACTTTTTTTATATCTTAATAAATATCACACTAATCTGCAAAAGAACTTGCATATAATCTATGAAAACTTAAAAAAGATTAAAAATAAGAAAACTTTAAATTAGCATTAAATAATATAAAAAAATTATTTGCTAACAAATCTTTAATCTTATAAGTCAAAATATAATTAAAACTTATAATGCAATATATTATTTTAAATTAAGTAGTCTTAAATGCATGAATGCAAATAAAACTTACTAATAAAGAAGATAATCAAGCCCAGTTAATTAAATCATAAACTAAAAACTTTATTATTTATTGTCAAATTTCAATATTAAAACGTAAAAAATATCAAAAATTAAAAAATCTATTAAGTAATAAAAATATTTATCAAATGATTACAGAATATCTCTAAAGCATTAGTTGTGATATAATAGTAAGTATATTTAAAATTTACATTAAACAAAAAGTATTTTCAAGTATAGAAGTTGAAAGAAAAAATCTTTTTGATAATATAATACGTTGTAGTTGACTTAATCTTTATTTTACAAATATATGATATTTTTGAGTTATAAATTTTAACATAACTTATATCATTTTGACTGTTGCTGTCACTCATCATCAAAAGGATTTGTTTTACAAATTAATATTTAATTACTAAATACTCTTTCTTATATCTTAAGTGTTAATTTCTTCATATAACTTTTTTATAATATTATTATTATCCAAATATTATTCTATTATTTCTTCTGTTATTATATTTTACTAATTGTTATACATGAAATTAGTGTTCTGCAAAAAATCTGATTCAATTCAAATCTGATTCAAATGCGACGGATCAGATCAAATCAAATTTATCAGATTCAAATCAGATTCAAATCTGAATTTTGATTTGATTCAATCTGTCAGATCCAGATCAGATTCAGATTTGGATTTGATTCAATCTGATAGATTTGAATTTGGACTCAGATTCAATTTGTTAGATTTGAAATAAAAAATGTTGCTCTGAAGTCGGACGTGATATTTATTATTAAAAAAATTTAATTTTTAATAATAAAATGCCACCAAAAAGTCAGACGTGACATTTATCATTAAAAAAATTTAATTTTTAATAATAAATGCTGCCTGAAAGTCAAATGCAGCTTTTATATTAAAAAATTTAATTTTATTAATAAAATGCTGCCCAAAAGTCAGACATGGCATTTATTATTAAAAAATCAATTTTTATTAATTTTTAATAACAAAATGCCATCCCAAAAGTCGAAGGCGGCATTTATTATTAAAAAATTAATTTTTATTAATTTTTAATAACAAAATGCCATCCCAAAAGTCGAAGGCAGCATTTATTATTAAAAAAAATTAATGTTTAATAATAAAATGCCATCCTGAAAGTCAGATGCAGCATTTATTAATAAAAAATTAATTTTTATTAATCTTTAATATTAAAATGCCGCCCTGAAAGTCAAAGGCAACATTTATTATTAAAAAATTTATTTTTAATAATTATAATATTAAAATGTCGTTCTGAAATTTGAAGGTAGCGTTTATTAATAAAAAATTAATTTTTTATTAAATTTTAATAACAAAATACCATCCCGAAAGTTAGAGGCAGCATTTATTATTAAAAAAATTAATGTTTAATAATAAAATTCTGGCCCGAAAGTTAAATGCGATAATTATTATTAAAAAATTTTATTTTTAATAATTTTTAATATTAAATGCTGTCCCAAAAATCAAAGGCAGCATTTATTATTAAAAAAATTAATGTTTAATAATAAGATGCCGTCCTGAAAGTCAGATAGCCATTTATTAATAAAAAAATTAATTTTATTAATTTTTTGTATTAAAATGCTACCCCAAATATCAGAGGTGGCATTTATTATTAAAAAATTCATTTTTAATTATTTTTAATATTAAAATGCCACCCCGAAATTCAGAGGTGACATTTATTATTAAAAATTAATTTTTTATTAATTTTTAATAACAAAATACCGTACTGAAAAGTTAGAGTTAAAAAAATTAATATTTAATAATAAAATACCAATCTGAATGTCAAAGGCGAATTTTTGTTAAAAAAAACAAAATTGTTATTTTTTTTAATATTAAAACGCTGTTCCGAATATCAGAGGCAGATTATTATTAAAAAATAACAAAATTGTTATTTTTTAACATTAAAACACCATTCTGAAGGACGGAGGCGAATTTTTATTAAAAAAAATTTTTGTTCCATCTGATATGAATACGTATTCAGATTTTTCAGATTCAGATATAAATTCAGATTCAGATTAGTCAGATTCGGATCGAATCAGATTCGAATTTATCAAATTCAGATTAAATCAGATTTTGCTTAAATCT